AGAAAAGTGTAAAACGTGTAAACGGCGCACATTCACGCTACAGTCGTCACACGCAATTCGTGCGTATTTGATTCCGTCTGACAATATCGACTTACTGTTTTGTAATCTATCCCGGCATAGAAACGGATATATAGAATATAAATAAATAAATAAATTTTTCAAGTAAACCTCTCTTAGTTTTTATTTTTAAAACGCACCTCATGAATTCAGATTGAATAAATTTCGTAGCGGATCCAATATTCCCTCTTTAAAGATTTCACCGTGTTTCGGCCATTTAATTAAAGTTTCGAGCGCAAACGACCTTCCTATCTATAAAAATCGTAACGAGATATGCAGATGGACTAGTGCAGTGTATTATCCAAAGTTATAGGACAGCGCGGTTGCAAAGTTCTGTCCCTACGTGGTATAATCCATCCCGTGGTGAAACAAAGTTGAAACGTTATCTCGAAGGAGCCTTTAACCCTGGACCAGCGTGAACTTAGTTTCGTAAAGATTATGCCGTCGGAACTGGTACTTATGTAGGTGAATACATGCACGTAGAACGTGTAGACGCGCGTTATAAGTTCTACAAAATTCGATAAAGGCGAGCGTACGAACGAAAAATGTGGATGCGATGTTTGCAACCGCGTCGGATCTAATTTCCTCTAAATTGATACATCGCCGGTGGGAACTGAGTCGGACCGCGCTGTATTTCAACTATTTTTTGTCGGATTTACGCGAAAGAATGTTGCGCGGGAGTTTAATTAAAGGATTATCATGCCAGATTTAGATATCGCGTTAATCTCTTCCGATCCTGAAACCAAATTTTCGTAACCATTAATTTTAATAGTGTCTATTGATAAATGCTCCCAAAAGACTCCCATATTCTTCTTTGAGTTTCATTATTTTAAAAATTCGTTCAATTACGTAGATATTTAAGAGTACTGTAAGATTAACCGAAAGTCTAACTGTAAAATGAAGAGGGTGGCGAACGGTTTAAATAAAAACTCGTGGGCGTAACAAAAATACTTGATATAGTCAACTCTCGTATTTATTCTCGATGTCTCAACACTAGGACGGCTGTACCAAGAGTGCCTCTTTGGTCAAACCTTTCGGTTGTCCTAGGACCTCCCCCATCGCCAGTATGACCTTCGTTCTACGTTTTATGGGTCTTTGTCAAGCTGCGTACCCTTAAAAGACTTGCGTCGTTGGACGCAGTCACCCCTACTCTTCTACGCGTTTTCGAATTTTCTTACATTT